GGCCTCACATGGCTTCTTTAAAAAATCTTACCGAGTGCTCTTCATCATAAAGACTATAGAGTTGCTGTTCATAGTCATACAAGTTGCGCGATTTGGGAATGTGAACCGCGCACACCTCATAGATTGATGTGTTTTTTTTTTAAATCGAACATAGGGAAATTACATTGCATGCAAACTCCTATGTTCGCATTTAAAAAAAACTCACTGTATATAGGTACGAGTAATTTTGATATAGTTTTGTGAGTGAGTGGATTACAAAGATATCCCGTTTACGGACATTTCATGCTTCTTTTCGGTAAATGGAATCTTTATTTTTATAACAATTATTAGGTAATACTTTTGGGTACAATAACGTAATTAGTTTCTGAACTTTAAAATTTCGTAAAACTTCAACTTTTTATACGGTGAGATGCCTAGAAAATCCAATGCTTCAAAGATATGTTTTTCACAACTGAGACCATCTCCCAGAACTGGTGCGTATCACAGTACTTAGAATTCGTATTGTAACGTGATTTATAAATTCGGGTTCGATTTATATCAATATTTATTAAACAAAACTAAAACACTATAAAAACCGTACAATTTATATCGATTATTTATATAACACACTTCGCAATTTATATTTCCGCGCTCGATGTTTACGTACTCGATCTCGTTCGGTAGTAGACTGCCGCGATGTTCGGTCCGAAACCATTTATACACGCAAGCAATGTAAGTCCAGAACATCCGCGTACATTCTCGAATATTCCTACACAAATCCCACTATCGCGCGCGTAGAAAATTCCAGAGCGCCAAAGGCGACGTCATGTCTGGAGCGTTTCCGTTACAATATTGAACAAAAATCTCGAAGAATGTTTCCCAGAATTTGTTGCCGTTCTGAGAATATTTTTAACGCTCCCAGTGAGCACAGCCAGTGTGGAACGTGTTATGAGTTCTTTAAAACATATCAAGCAACCTCGAAGAAGTATATTAACCGAAGAGAGACTGAACGAATTCAGCATTTTGTATGTCGAAAAAAAAGTAGCAGAAACATTGGATTTAGAATCAATCATATAGACTACTTTGCAAATGTAAAGGTTAGAAGGGGCGCCAAATTGTTTTGAAATATATTTATACCTGTATTTTATCGTTTATTGTATCTTAAATATTTTTATTTTTTATATATGTATCTATACGTGTTTACATTTTTTAATATTATATGTTTTTCTGCAATTATACACTGTTCGAGCTGTTTAGTTAATTTCTGTTCCTCATCCAACAATGTAAGCAATGTATAGAATAATTATCAATCATCACTAATTAATTCTATAATATTACCCACACCAACATGATTTTAAAAATTGATGGGCGATAGTCGGAGGAGAGGGAATAGTTTAGGAGCCTTACTCAAGGTTGACCATGGGGCCTGCTTCCTTAGATCCGCCACTGGTTAAAAGAGTGATTTAATAGCGTATTTTCTATCATTAAATGAGTTAGGTTTATTGTGTTTCCGTGGTTGCGTTTCCCAGGTTGTGGCAGCATAAATAATATACATAATATATTATTATTATTATTATTTTAAGTATCTTTTTACCACCTGCAATACGTAGTATGTACATGTATAAGAGAGGTCTTCAAAAGACTTGGGCATCGAACAATCGAGTTTGGTCTTTTTCCTAAGAAAATTGCTGCATAAATAGGGATTTAGAATAATATATCGCTTTTAGGCCATAAAGATATACCAAAATTTATTTTTTATAGTAAGTATGCACATATGGAACTGATAAGCTTTCATACAGCGAAAATCTGAAGGCGATACGAAGTCTTCTTCCAAAGAAAATCCATTCATAAATAACGATTTTGATATTTTTTACCCAAAAAATTGTCACCAAAAATACATATAGACCACCTCTTGACCATTAAGCAATCGAGTTTCCCAAGAAAATTGATGCATAAATAACGATTTTGACATGAGGTATCAGTTCTGTTATTTATGTCAAGATTAAGGGTTAGATCTTTGAGAATAAATCGTAAATTTAAAACTTGACTGATGTCGCAAATTTGATTAAAAAATTTTGTGTTTGAACAATTTTCTAAGAGATTAGCTATTAAAACCATTATGTTTGTTGCATGTATTTTTACCGTTCACCCATTATGATTGAGTTGTAATAAAGTTAATTACGTAGTTCAGAATAAATATACGTGTAATAGGAGCAGACCGAAGTATTAATTATATTAATTTTAATTAAGGGTATTCTTGACTTAATTTTTTTTAGCAACCATTTGCAATGTGTTTGTTTATATATTAAGATTGCTGAAAAATGTATGTCACTTGGTAAACAGATGGGCGAAGGTTGACCTCATGTGTGATCTTGGACTAATTCCTCTATAACACAGGCAGCACTGTTTTGAATTTGACTTGCGCCAAACGTTTGACTAATGGCCTCGCTTTCCACAGGCATAACACTCAACATCCAATACTGGATAACTTCTCCGGGTGTGGACCGGGCCACCACAAAAAAATTCCTGAACATTCTTAGGGCCCTTGCACATGTGCGAAGCTACGCCAGAATCAAATATCCATTTTTTTCTGGGCTTTTCAACGCCGATATAGCACAAAACATGTTCTTGGCGCCAGTTTTCTTCTGGACAGACAGACACCATCGACTCCCCTATAAAGTTTGCATCGCTTTGCTCTGGCGCTTAATGAATCAAGAAAAAGAAAACGGCGCAACCAGAAATAGTAGAGAACTGTAAAGGAAACAACAACTGAATTTGGGAAAAAACAAACACAAACCGTAAAGGTTAAACGAGGAAGAAATGAAGGAATCATGTAATAAAATGCCCAAATTCAAATGAACTGCCCATGTCAGCAACGAAGAATTATTGTAAAATGGATGACATTTTTACGAAATTTCTTCTTCTGCCCAAGACATCACACAAAATAGTTACAAATATTTTCCATCTGTCAATAGAAATTAAATCAAGGTTTGCAAAAAAATATTTTTTGAACACTTTGTCAGTGACTAACACTACTCACTTTTAGAATGCAAAAATGCAAAAGCACGTTATTTGCTACCAAGTGTGCTAAATATAAAAATTTGACTGCAGAGGAGAAGAGTAAATTCAAGAAAAACTTGATGTAGGTAGTTATTATTCGAAATAACGAAATATGTCATGCTGAAAAAGCTGCTTTGACAAGTAAAGATTAGTGGCTCTTTCTAGAGGAATTTTTCGAAAGAAAAAAATTCCCCTTACATGATGGTTTTGTTCGTCTGTCCGACCGTTCCTTGTCTAACTCGAGAACGAAAATAAACCGTGGTATCGCACAAATAGAAGGTAATAGAATTAAATACATTGACAACACTTGTTTATAAACTAATCTCAATGGAAACGGTTAATAAATTTGAAATTCTAACGCACGCTCGCTCGGCAACTCCATTTACGATCGGAAGTCGTATACCGGATTGGTTTTCACTCTTTCTGGTGCAGGGGTAACATGGGCTTCGAAAAAACAGAGAACCGTTGCGTTATCTTCGACTGAGGCCGAATATATTGGACTGACCGAGGCTACAAAAGAAGCCATGCACCTTAATCAATTTTTAGAAGAACAAAATTTTAATTCTTCAGCTCCCATTACGTTGTACAACGATAATCAAGGTGCAGCTCATCTGGCCAGAAAACCCGTTCAGCATGCTCGTTCAAAACATATTGATATTCGTTGTCACTTCATTAGAGAAGCTCTAGAAAACGGATATGTTCAAATCGAATATCTGCCAACGAACCAAATGCCTGCAGACATGTTAACAAAAACGTTCAGTTCATCAAAAATGGAAGAATGCTGCAGATCCATTGGAGTTGTTGAAGTTAAATTTGAGGGAGCGTGTTAGAGTTTCAAATTTTATTAACGGTTTTCATTGAGATTAGTTTATAATCAAGTGTTGTCAATATATTTAATTCTATTTGACGTGTTATATTTGTACGATATATTTCATATTAATATTTGTTCTGCTACGACTTCCAGCGCTTTATTTACAACATCCACTAACTCTAATACCCAATCGATGTAAAATATTTTCCGGAAGTAGCTAGAAACTTCAATATTTTAAATGGCAACCCCTATTTTATATTGCATTTTTGGATTTTACGTAAAATTTAAGATCTTTTAATACCCACAGTCCACATGTCGATATCTACCATTTATGGTTTTTAAGATATTTTGACTTTAGAAAAATGGCGGTTGCGGATGGTACCTTGGAAATTTGATTACTTGAAAACGGTTGTAGTTATAGCAAGCTATTTTCACCAGCGCATAAAGACAGAATAGGGCTTTCTTTTAGTGTACTTAAAAAAAAGTTGAGCGTACGACTGCACCTATGGAAATCCAAATTTAAGAAATTTCAAAGACTAAATACTGGCATATTTTAATACCTACCTATGACATGTATCTTTAACAGCATTGAATAGATACTATTTTTTTGGATTTTCGTTTTAATATTCGGCCATGATTTGAAAAAAGCATTTACGTTTCGAATAACTCTTGGTTTCCGTGGATTTTGGCAGAAGCAGAATTGAAACAAATTCACGTTCACCAATACCATTTGCTTGTAGATCCCGTTAAAGTAAATTGTACGTTTAGTATTAGGCTCGCATGAATTAAAACAGCTAAAAACAAATTCTAGTAAACTAAAATCGATAGTACCTCATGTTTGTACGGTGGCGCCACTGTACTGTAAAGAACCAACTTTCATTTCAGCCTGTTTATTGATTCTGTTCTCCCAATACTAAATCGAGTATTTTCTTTAGTCTGTGTTGTGGTAAGAGCACGTTTTTGTGACTATGAGATCCACACTCAATAAGCGACTCTAATTAAAATAAGGAAATCAGCGTAAGAATTTGTCTAAATAGTTCAGGTTTTTGGAAACTCTTGCCTAGTAATCTTGGACATTCTAACAACTTTAGCACAGATAAAATACCCATTTATCTGTGACTTTAGTCTAGAAAATTGCCCGTAATCGTATTTACATCATTCAAAATTGTGTGCAATTCATGTGTCAACGTGGTTTGTGATCTCTTTAAAAAGAGTTTTTTTTTACTTTTCGTGCGTTACGCCAACAATTATTTTAGTGTTTAATCCAGAAAGCAAATTCTGTGTGCACTAAAGAACATCACGCATCACAAGCACAATCAGAACAGCCAATATACAATAGATAAAAGTCTTGTGCTTTTGGTCTTGGACCACGGTGGTAGTGCTCACTTATCCATTCTGCACGATGAGGTAACCGTAAATATAATTTAGACAAAGGCAACCATAGTCTCCATACTAGAGAAGTGTGCGCATGTTTTACTTAAAAGTGTATAGGCAACCCAATCAGTACATATACATTTCGTTTCACAGCGCTGGAGGCTTTGTCACCCTCGGTAGTCCGTTGATCGACATCATTGCGGAAGTGGACAAGACCTTCTTGGACAGCTTCGGTCTGAAAGAAAACGACGCGATTTCTCTGAGCGGGTGCAGGGGCGAAATTTTCGAGCGCGTCGAAGAGCTGAAACCAAAGCGTCTGATTGGCGGTTGCTCTATAAATACCGCTCGCGCACTGCAATGGGTTCTGAAACGACCCAACTTCTGCACGGTCGTTGGAACCGTGGGGGATGACGATTACGGCAACGCAATTTCTGCACAGCTACACGCCGAAACCATCAGGCCCATTTTGCAAAGGGTCCCAGATGACCGAACAGGACGCTGTGTAGTGTTGCTAAATGCGACCAACAGATCTTTATGTACCGAATTGGGTGCGTCCAAAAGGTTCGACTTGGAAGATTTGATGAAGCGGGACGTGTGGGCTGCAGTGCGGGAAGCCTCATATTATTACATCCCGGTAGGTAAGGGAGTGTTACGCATTTTACAAATGGGTGGCTTTTCAGGGATTTTTCCTGTGCGTGTCGAGGGAGTGTGTACTAACAGTGGCTAAGTACTCGGCGGGCCATGCCAAAACGTTCGCGTTCAATATAAGCGCCCCATTTATCGCCAACCTCTACAGGGATGACATACTCGAACTGCTTCCACACGTCGATATTTTATTCGGAAATGAAGCTGTAAGCTAGTGATGCCTTATGACATCGTCTTATCCTTCTGATGCAGGAAATACGCGCCTTGGCAGACGTTCTGGGGTACACCGGCAGTAATTTGGGTGACATTCTCTTGCAAGTCAACAAATTGACAAAGGGAATCGTTGTAGTCACCAGAGGTTCGGGATCGGTTTTCACGGTTGATGGTCTAAATGTTAGCGAGCACTTGGTGGAGAAATTGGAAGAAGGAAGGGTGAAGGATACGAGCGCCGCTGGTGACTGCTTCGTTGGCGGGTTTTTGGCAGGATTTATTTTGAAAAGGCCGATTTCCGAATGCGTCGCATCGGGCAGCGATGTTGCTAGAAATGTAATACAAAGTAATGGATGTTGGTTTGTACCCAATTTTCGAATAAATTAGTCTTTTGATTAATACGTAGTGTGGCACCTGCACGTCGTCGGCCTTCGTGCGATTAATAATAAATCAATGTGCAAAAATAATAATGAATAATTCATGGAGCCAAATACGAACAGAAACACTTCTGCTATAATTAAAATTAATTGTTTCGTAAAACCTTTTCACGAACATCCTTCCACTTTCCATTGTCAATTTGAAAACGTAATTTAGATCGGTGCACGCGAGTGCTTAAATTTTAATTGGCCCACCAAAATTTTATCGTGTTCGTTTAGAATTCATAATAATGAGAGTGAATTACGTTGGGTCAATTATCTTAATTTGGTCGGTTACATTTAAACTGAGTCGGCGATCCAGTTGACTTCGTTTCGTGTAGGAGATTACTTAAATTGCTTATTTTTGTCTTGATAATTCATATGATTAATGAGTTCATTTGTAATTAGTCAGTTTCCTTTGAGTTAGCTTAATTGCAGTATTCGAGAGAATTGGAAACTGTTGTTAATTTTAAATTATCATGCTAGTTCTCATCATTTACCGTTGGATAATACTTCGTTCTTTAATACCCAGTAGGTACTAATTAACTAATTATTAGTTGTAATCGAAAATCTCAAGGTGATGGCCACTGCTTCTGAACTGTCTGTCTTTCTTATAGGTACAAAACAAGAAGTCAATTATTCAGATTGACTATGTACACTATACAGGGTGCCCATTATGTATGGAATATAGTATATATCTCGGTAAATATCGACTGTATACAAAATTTTTCTATATGAAAGTTGTTTGACATTTTATTTCCCATAATAAGTAAGCATTCCATTGTTCTTATTTCAGAAAACAAATGAATAACGAAAAAACAATTGAATTTTTTTAAATAGCAATGCACACTTTTATTAGGCTCATTTGATAGAGATTTTATTCTCTTTTCGATTGTAACATGTACTTTAATGCTAGAAAATTTTTCAAAAATACTTATAATCACATCAATAACATTAATCTAGATACCATACATCACAATAAAACAAATGAATGTGTGTACGTTTGTTACCATTTTATTTCTAATTTCATTTTGTCTTCAAGGTTTAATAAGAAACGTACGTGTTTATTTGTTTTATTTTGATGTAGGATATCTAGATTAATGTTATTATAATACATTTTTTTGAAAAATGTTCTTGTATTAGGTTACTAACATGTTACATAATCGAAAAGAGAATTTAAAAATCGCTATCAAATGATCGTAATGAAAAGGCGCACTGCCATTTAAAAAAATTCAATTGTTTTTCGTTACTCATTTGTTTTCTGAAATAAAAACAACTGAATGCTGCCTTATTATAGGAAATAAAATGTTAAACAACTTTCATTAAAAAAAATGTTGTATACATTCGATATTTACAGAGATATATACTATATTCGATACATAATGGCCATGGGCACACTGTATGTAATGCGTTATCTCTGGAGTAAGTAATTTCAAAGTAAGTTAGCATTATTATACATTCTTATACCATCCCAACGTATGTTTGAATTGGCCATAACAAATCTTGTCGATCTAATGTAATTAATAAGTTTATTACTAATAATCATGAAGTGAAGTATCTATTTTGACAAACTGAAAACTTTAAACAAATTTCAGTTTCTTTCTGCAATATTTTTACTGGAACTGCATTTTGTGATCCCCAAAACATCTCTGTATTGCGTGAATGATTTTATCGGAAGTGGATTGGTTAATATAATAATAATAATAGTATCTTTATTAGATAACGCGAGTTATCCAACCAATATAATAAATCAAATATAAATGATGGATGTGTACAAAAAGAAATCAAAAAGGAGATGATATGACATAAAATTTATCTTAAACAGGATGACATTAATATCGAAGAATGAATTAAAGACTCATGTTCTGTCTATCCAGTGTAGTTTTTAATAACTTGGTTTTAAATGAAACCATCACTAGCATTTTAACATCAGTAGGCAAAAGGTTGTATGTTTTCCCAACATTCGATCGTTCGAAAAACTTGGTTCGATGAAGAGGTGGAGTAATGAGTTTATATAATCTACTATTGGAGCTAAATTGAGTTTTCTCGTATATATAATTGGGTGGAGTGCGACTTCTTTTATCTTGTGAGATATGAGTTCATATTTTTTTACACCAAAAATTAAATGTAGACACGAATTTTGAATTTTTTGTATTCTAACAGTATCACTCCTGTCAAGGCAAGGACCACACACAGAAATTGGATAAAACCATTGAATAATAAAACTAATGACTGACACAATAGCACCTTTAGAGAATTGCTTAAAGACTGGTTAAAAACGCCCTACGGCGGTTAATCGCAGTCCATCCACAAACCCAAGTTTTTGACACACTATTTTGGTAATATAGAACATGAAGGACAATTTTAAAGGGTTAATTCGTAGACCATGTAGCTCAGACGTATATGAACTATACGTTTGATGTCCGATCTGATGCAAGAGACTGAATTGTAATTGAACATCATCAGCATAATAATGAAATTTGACATGATTGACACTGTGATAAAAATTACTGGTATATGTAAAAAACAAAAGTGATCCCAGCACTGATCCCTGAGGTACCCCCGACGTTATTCTAATAGTTTAGGTATGAGATAGCACAACCTGTTAAAATCTACCTCCGAGATAATTTTCGACCAATCTAATGGTATCAATGATAATAAGTCACAAACTGTTAAACATAGCTATAGGAACATGTAGTATCAAAAATATGCCGAGTTTTTAGCCTTTGAAATTTCTTAAATTTGGATCTTCTTATAGGTGCGGTCATACGCAACTTAACTTTTTCTAAATGCACTAAAAGAAAGCCCTATTCTGTCTCTAAGCACCATTTTTTAAGTCAAAATAACTCAAAAACTATAAATTATAGGATTTATAGGGACATGTGGGTATAAAAAGGACTGAAATTTCACGTATAATCCGAAAATGCATTATAAGGAGTTCCTCCCTCCTAAGTACAAATTTTCAAAAGTTTACCTATTTCACTTTCCCATCAGAAACGTATAATAATCACTCCCAAAATAACACCCTGTATATCTATTTTTTGTACTCCGGTAATCAGATATATTAATACTGTAGTAGTTCACATTATGCATTTATTTTATTTTCTTTCCTTTACATTAATTTTTTTAATAATTTTTTTTAATCAATTTTTTACAATTCTCTTTCATTGCTTTTTTTTCACTTTACCTTAAAAACACAAGTTACCCTGTTAGAGTAATGGTAATTATCTCATTTGTTATATGGCTACTGCAGTTATTAAATAAAGGCAGAAAAAAAGAAACAAACTTCATTTACCAATGAATTGAATTAGTTAAACGAAGCATATGTGCTCATGCTTTGACAATAAATTCCAATTTTTTTATTACTGTGCATTGGATTTTTAAATTTTGATAACCATGACCATCAAAATTCGTGGGTGTTGTAAAAGTAGAAATATACACAAAAAAAGGGACGTGTGTAGCTGTAGGGTGAACTGTTTAAGATTATTAATTGGTCTGAGTGTAGGGATCAAAAGGTCAGCCCGCCGTTCTAAGAATTTCTTAAAAGAGGGCTCACATTATTTTACTGCATTCATAGTAAATCTGAAAGCCTCTGTAAGTGTGTGGGTGCTCTGATTGATTTAATTAACTTGCAAATAGGTGAGTTTTCACTGAGCTTTTATCCTTTTACATTTGCATGAATAAAATTTGTGTAGTTATTGGTCTGAGTAAGAAAGTGTTCCATTTATTAGTATCAGTTGATTGTGAAGGTTATTTAACCGTTCTTGGGAGGTTACATTGGGCGTCAAATCCGTCAGTAACCAGGTTTCCCAGATAAGTTAAAGTTAGAGGAATAGTATATCCTAGACAATTGCTGGATGAGAAAAGCTCATTGCGGCGCTGTATATTCCCTCTGAGCTTATTGCACTCCTCGCTACTAATTGATGGACACTTTGTTGCGTAAAAGGGTATTTGGGTGCCCGCTGTACCCCTTAGAGCCATTGCACAACCCACTGTCTAGAAAAGCAGTTATTTGTATGGACAATGCGTGTTTAATCCCTTTGTCCATAAGTTTTCGTTTTAGCACCTTAGGCCAATGTGTTTGGCCATTGAATAAAAAACACTAATAAGAAGCCTAACGCTTATGGAAGAAAGCGCGACAATCTCACAAATCCCCTTGCACCCGCATTGGTTGTGACCCCGAACTCTCATTGTCAAATTCTCATTCTTCTCAGTTCAAGAATGGACATTGACAGTGTTCCTTATATTCTCAGTTCACTCTGTCGCGCTTTTATTTCCACGGGTTAGGCTTCTTATAGTGTTTTTATTCAATGGTTTGGCCAAGTAGTTCTCAATTATAGGTCCATGCCACGTTTCCTCTGACGTAATTAGGTACTGTGTAGCAACATAAGCCCCTAGATTCAATTAACATTAAAATGAAAGAGGAACGATCAACTAAATCAGTCAATCCCTCAATCTTACTTCCCCTCCCCCCCCCCTCCCATTAGTTCACTCCATTTTAAATTTTGTACACCACCTATTTCTACCTCTTACAATAATGAATATAAAAAACATAGTTCTAAGTAAACCAATGACCCATTGAGTTTTTTAATTGTACCATCTTCCGATGAAGAAAATACTTGAAAAGTTCAAAATTAAAAAAAAACATGTTGAGTCAATTTGAACATTTATTATATTTCAATTCGAGTTTTTATTAAAGAAACTCGATTATTCATGCATATTACTCGTACTATTATTAAAATTTTCTAAAATATCACTCGAAATGTTTCTTAAATGTTTCTTTCTATTTTTTATAAACATGATATACATTTTTGATATCAGGATTGTTTAAAACTTTAAAATGGCTCCCATATGAAAAACAAAAGTTGGTATCGATATATAATAAAGTATTAGTGATAACGAAAATTCATTTCGATCTTCTAAACAAACAAAAAGTTCCCTAGAGAAAGTCTGTTTGGTTTTTAAGTACCTCCGCAAATAACGATT